TCTCGAAAACCACTCATCCAAAATACGCCACAGTCGACACTGCACTTCCTCTGGTCCTCAGCAATTCAGCTATGAGCTGCTGTCAAGAAAAACAGACTGACAGACATGCAGGCAGACAGACAGACAGACAGACAGACAGGCAGACAGGCAGACAGGCAGACAGGCAGGCAGGCAGGCAGACAGACAGACTTCTCAGTTTGTTAGTATAGGATGCCAACAGTTGACTTGTCAAAAATCGAAACCAAACTCCTATGTGTGCGACTAGCTAAGAAGCCACCTTTTATATAGAGAAAGTATATTATAAATAATGGGTTTTGTAAATGCCTTATGAGTCATTTGTTAATGCTTTATATATTAGTTTTAAGCCACAAATAAGAGCTGACTGAGATTTTGTCTTCCCCTGTGGATTCCTAGCACATTGATTCTTAGTGTCAATACATGAAACGATTGAAAACATTACTATCAATGTTATGATCCATTTCTGCCGACAGATCTCCTGAAACCCTGGAACTTTAATGTAGTTACGACTTCTTATGAAATGGGTTGTTTTTGGAAAGTGACACCAAATATTCAGTTCTTCACCAGAAACAGATGCTATGACTCAGACAGATGTGACTGTTACTCATAATCATTTGATGACAGCTAACAGACTGAGATTTCATTAACACCCGTCTACCTCCCTTCCGCTCCTCCTCCTCCTCCTCATATCCTTCCTCTGCACAGGAAGAAGCACGTCTCCACCCTGCTGAACGTACGGGGGATGATGCGGCAGGCTGAGCGCCAGGAGATCCTCAACATCGTCAAAGACTTTGAGTGCAGGAGTGCCCTCATGTGCCGTGACCACGCCCTCTTCTCTGACATCCCCATCACCTCAGAGGTGCACTGCATCAGCTTGGGCCTCCTCCGGCTCGCCATGACCGTCTCCAACTGGTTGTCAGAGCAGCGTCTGAGGCAAAACCGCAGGAGGAGCGCGAGGAACTCGGCACCTCAACCCTCCGAGAATGTGGAAGACACAAATAAGCTTCACAGAGAAGACTAGCTGTTGGTGTGTTGTGTTAGGAGAGCGGTCACAGATGGGCTGTGACGATTCTGATGAGATGATGAGATGTGCATGCACCTTGACCAAAAACTGTACCAAATATTGTTACCAGCCATTTAAGAAACTTGACCTCAGGTACTGCTTGTACTGTACACGCTCACTTACTTACTGACACTTTTAAGGAATAGTGAAACGTTATAGCTCATTATCATTCGCAGTTGTTTCATTTTGATCTAAACAAATAACATAAGTGACATAAAATAACCTCAAAATGTAACTTTTCCAGTTTTCTTTAGCCTTTCATTCCTGCACACCACTGCAGAAACAACTGCTAGCAGATGCAATGCAATATGATGTAGGATGTTTGCTGTTTAACATGTATTTACTCAAACATATATACCCATTCTCTGGTATATAGTACATATGTGTGTGAGGAAATAGTGTATGAAAATGTATATGTGTTGAACTCTCACTGTGAATGAAATGGATCTGTTGCTGGAACCATAATAAAAGCCCATTGACTGGGTAGATTAAACAGACTCAGCAGCTCTGTTATTGTGACTGTCAATACTGTGTTAATACTTCATACTGAGTTTCAGCAAGAAGAGGAAACGTGTTTGTCTGCATCTTGTCACAACTCTGTCAGGTCTCAAAATGGATTTGTTTTATTGCACTTCTAAGTTTAGGTGTTTAAGTCCTTGAATGTGGTCACGTCAGACAATAAGTCTGGAGCTATGTTAAACAATACATACCGAACAGACACGGGCCAGAGGGTCTGACGCAGGACTGATGCTGTCAGTATATATAAACACACATACTTTATGCCTTTGTTTATCTTAAGGATACGGCAGCTTTGTTCAGTAAAGTTGAGATCCTGAAATATCGGGCTCCACCATGGCTACTACATGGCGCGCTGCTTCCAAACCAGAGGGGTCACACACCCCGAGGCCAACAACGGGATGTTTTTCGATAAACAAAGATTTCCTGTTGTCCACTGAGGTGCCAACGGATGCTTTTATTGGAGCCAAGTTTACGTTATGCACTAGGAGGGAACTTCCCCTCTGATGCTCAGAGGGAAGGTGCAGCAGCCACGGAGCTTTTTCAAGTCCGAGCTGCTGGTGGGGTTCTCATAACAAACTCCGGCAGCCTCAGGTGGGGCCACTGTGCACACTGAGTCTGTGGGTCTATATCTGAAACTGAATGACCAGCTGGTCGCTTTGAAATGTCAAAATAACTCAAGAGGTTCGTTGTCACCTACTGGGAATATACCGGTGGTGGTTGGACTTGCTGACAGATAGGCGAGGCCTTCATCAAGAGACAGCAGGGAGAGCAGTCACGCAGAAGGGTATCAGAGATAGAGAGCCCCACCCCACGGGTGTTAGTGGTTCCTCAGGTCTGTCGCACATGGAATCCTGGATGTCTGTCTGATCTGCTTTTTTGTTTGAGACCGGCACTGGTTCACTGCAGTTCTAAGTTGGAAAAACTCAGCCATGGAGTTAAGTGATTATTTCACTCGTGATAACTCACCATATGGACATGGTAACAGAATGTCTTTAGAATTATAGTTTCTTCCTCTCCTTCATTTAAAAATCCAGAATCTATAAATGGTTAATGATCTGTATTCATATAGTGGTTTTCTAGTCTGGATGACCGCTCAAAGTGCTTTACAGTACAGGTTTGTTTTTGCCAATCACGCACACATTCATACAAGGCATCTACTTGCAGCACTTTCTCTATCACACACACACACTGCCAGCAAAACCATCAGGGGCAATTTGGGGTTCAGCATTTTGCCCAAGGACACTTAATTATTTTAATGAGCGACTCCTTCTATCTCCTGGGCAAATATTGATTATTTTCCATTATTTCCAGTCTACTGAACACAAAAGTCTGTGCTTGGTGAAACTGGAGGTTTTATATTTTGCACAAGTTTCCATCTGGATCAATGAAGGTGACCAAACAGGGGGTGGATTCAAAAATCCACAGTAAAGTCACAGACATTTAAGGTGAACCCAGAGAGACTTTCTGTCTCTGACAGATGAATGTAACTAAACTTGTGTTTAATTGTGCACATATATACCTGTACATCGCTCTGCACAGTCAAAACAACCACACAAAGTCACAGTAATACAGTTTTGAGGGGAGGGGAACAACTAAAGTATTTTTATACCTCTCATATTTACACTTTCATTTTCAATTTGTTTTCCATTGATGAATATATATATATATATATATTTATATTTGTATATATATACACAATTTGGACATCATCCATCCTTTTATCCATCCTATTAATCCCTCCATCCATGCACCACTGTGCTTCCACATGCATTATAATGAAAATAGAATAGACTATTGGACAATATTAAGGATCTGAACATTTTTATGATATAATATTCTATTCTATTCTATCAAAATCTTAGTTATATGACCACAGTAACTACTTTAACTGTGGTTTTATCTTCTTGACAAAAGACAAAAACTTTAGTAGATACTGCACATATTGATACATTTTTACATTCATTTTACTGAGTAAATTGTGTATATAAGAGATTTGATTGCAGATGTGTATATGTGGCCTATTTGTTTCTCTTATTTTCTCCAGGAAATTTGAAAGTGATGATGGTCAGTCAGTCAGAGATGAGTTGTGCATTAGTGTTTACCATTGCTTTGCTGCACTCATAAGTCAAACATTTCTGACCGTCTGTCATGTTCTGTCCTGTTCTGTCCTGCACAGCTTTCCTGTTTTTTACGTGACTGATTTATGGCTTAAAAACATCAGCATGCATTCTTGACATGACAAGGGAAGGAAACATGTATGTATAAAAAAGAAGAGAACATTTCTTCACTTTTTCTTCATCTGTTTACCTGGTACCAACAATAGCCCTGATATCTTTGACCTGGGAGTGCACCACGCTCTTGTTTTTATTTTTAATAATTTCCACGAATTTGTGGGACAGAACAGGAAGACCAATAAGTGTAGTTGGCATTGAGTAAATGTTAAGTTTGGAAGTGTGGCTTCTGAGTCATATGTACATGGAGAGGATTATCAAACATCCTCTCATATAGCAGGCTGGAGGCGGCTGCTGGATGGCTGTTTTCCAGGTATTCCCAGGCGGGGATTACCATCTCTGACCGAGGAGTGCAAGTAGGAACCACGGCCAAACTCCTGGAGGTTTCCCTCGATCAAGCTCCTGAAGGTGGAACGTCCACAGTATCACAATGCAATCCCTGGGAAGCACTCCCCTGCTTCCTCTCATTAACACAGCTCTGCAATGGAAAATCCAGCTGGTTGTATTCGCTGTTTGTTTTCGGAAGCAAGCCGAGCCCTGTCTTTGTTCACGCTGTCATGCACTTTTCACGGTTGTTCTCTCCTTGGTGTGTTTGCTCGTCATACAGAATGTCGTATATTTCAAATTACACAATTAGGACATTGTGTGGTAGCTAAGAGGGGCATTTCTTACACACCAGGTTTAAGCAATTGGCCTAGTTTAGTCTCTGCAAATCTGCTCCACCGGCTTTAAAGCAAAGGTGTTATGTAAGTCACTAATGACTTACATAAAAATCAATAAAATCTGGGTGAGCATGGTTTGCACAGCTATCCCTGTGCACGTTCCAAATACCTCTTTTATTGCTGCCAAAAATGTGTATTGTAAAATACTCTCTAGATAAGAGACTGGTATCTTTACTTTTGCTTGTCTGCTGTGTTTGACTGTCTTAACACCTCTAACCTCTCTGGAATTCATTATTTTTTCATTAGAAAAAATTCTTGGATGTCGCAGCATCCTCGAATGCATCATCAGGTGAGTTTTCAAAATGGCTCCTACCCACCACCCTCATTAGCTCCATGGCAGTAATCTGGACACAACTTCCACCCGAATGTTTAGCAGTGGAGCTTTGTTGCAAGTGGCTTCAAATAAATGGAAATGCATGAAACGGGGAACTTGCAGCTATTTGCTGTCTTGCAGGTACGATCATATGAGAGCATTGATCATTTCTGTACCTGTGAAGTTACCTCAAGCTGCAGACATTTTAAATTCATCTTACCGTGAAGACTGGTAAACTGGACGGAACATCCTGACTCTGGTCAAAGGTGAGAACTATTCCTACTAGAACTTATTACATCCTAACTATTTAATGTGTAAACAAAAAGTCATGTAACAATGAAAACCTGTAGTTTAAGAGGGAGGTATGTACTGAAAATATTTATTGGTCTAGCCCAGTGACTTCCTGAAGAATTTTGCCTTCACTGTGTGTTTGTCAGGAAGTGACTGTGGGAAAAAAAACTGTTTTTCCTACACAGGTGACTCCCACGTCAAGCCTCAAGTAAAAAAATTAAATTCAAGTCACAGTTTTGAGAGTGGCATCAATCCTCTCATACAAGTCGTGTTTTCCATTCTGTCAAAATACACTTTTAGAGGATTATACCTTTTTACAGTCATTCTCCTTCACACAGTTACAATGAACTCTCATCCCTTACTGTATTCAGGAGGTAATGAGCATTTGTACATATATAAAAACAGACTCTTGAGGAAAAAAAAGACTTTCATCTTCTTCTTCTATCACATTTATTTAATCTTCATTTAATCAGGCATTCTCACAATTTTATAAGAGAGACCTGAAAACAGGAGACCTTCAGCAAATAAATGCAACACAACAAGGACTAAATCAATCAATTACAAAAATGATGAAAAACATTTGATAACTGGAAGATTTTCAATCATCGTGTTAGTGTGTCTATTTCTTGAGATTGTAGTCCTGAACATATCTCTGACGTGTGCTTCAACAAAGCTCTGTAGTCCAGGTACTTCATTTCAAAATACACAAGCATAGTAAGTACAGAAAGGGCGTCAAGGTCTGTAGTGTACAACTAAATTACCTGAAGGGACAAGCAGCATATTATATTGCTAGCACTCAACCCATCAGAAGCCAGCATTGACTGTAGCCCTAACTGGTCCCAATTAAGCCATAAGATGAAATGTAACTATGGAACTGCTTATCCATAGAACATCAGACATGCCAAACAATACATTTAAAACTCTTTACAAATGGCTCTAACAAAGGGAATGTAAGACTGCACTGTTTAAAAGGTGCATCCCGTTCTGCCAACATTAGTGTGAGTTTAGGGGACATCTAAGGTGATATAGCTCATGTACAGTGTCATGGTGGAAAATGTCCTTCACATGTTAAGTACTGAGAAGTAGCCTAACCTTAATCCAGTGGAAAACTGGAAACTGTGTATCGGTCAGAGAGGTCTCTCTCACTCTGTCTGGTTTTAGTTGAGGTGTGGTCCTGACAATCAACACATTGCGTAACCACACATAAACGGAATTGTTCTGACATGACCGATCGGGGCAAGAGTGAACAGGCAGAACCTCCTGTCCTCTCCCATGTCCAGTGTACGCTGTCTGTCAGGATGGCTGCCCACTTGAACCAAAACAATGGCGCTCTTCGTCACTCCTGATGGGATATCCTGATTTATGTTATCCCAGCATATCCATCGAGTGCATCTTTATTTAGCGATGAGGAGGAGCACGGCCCTGCCTGCCTGCTGGTGCCCGCTCACACTCCGGGTCAGATGGAGCAGACACGCCACCCTGTTTGTTATCAGCCGTGACATTAAATCAGTGTTCTCAGACCTTGGCCACAGACGGAGCAGAGGAAGTTCACCTTTGTCTAAAACAGGGGACTGCAATCTAAAATAAACTTGGACAATATCTTGAATCATTTCTGTGTCTTAAAATGGGCCAACAAAACATGTGCACAAGTCAGGTTATATTCCTTTAAATGCTGATGTATTTGATTAGTGATAACAGTTGTGGGTGGATGCAGTGATATAAATATTTTGCTCAGGTCTGTGCTGGCCTGATGCCACTTACACTGTAAACATCCCAACCTGTGGAGTTATTTGTTTTCCTTTGTCTAAACTATTTTGACATCTATATAATAGTGAGAAAAACACAGGGGGTGACTTTGTTGCTCCTGAATGTCTGTATTTACGTGTGGACATCCCCTGGCCTCTCAGACCTGGCCTCATTACAGCATCAGTGACAATCAAACAGTGATACAGCAGTAGACAAGATGGAAAACCTCCAGACCAAGTGAATTATGGTCTTAGAAAACCATCAGTTCGCCTCATTAGCCATGCAAACGTCATGTTGAGGGCTGTGATGATCTGTCTGTTTGTCAAATTATGGTATGTGCACAGTCATGGTCTGTTTAGATGAAGGCTGCAGACTCTGGTGATCCTCTGACATGGAGCCTGACAGAACTGACACTGTTAAGAATCAACAGCAAGTTGAGACTTGGAACTTTTAGGTGAAATATATTGAAAACTATGATGATAAGATTACAGTCCATGTCATTTAGCTGATGCTTTTATCCAAAGCAACTTTTCCAATTTCTGCATTCAACATCTACCTTCTGGTTGGAGGACTGTGACTCTACCCCCTCATCCACAGGGTTGTTCTCAGGCAGTTACATCTACAGATCTTGGTGATCCCCTGACTTTTCTATAATGCAGAAGTGGGGAACCTTTTTGCAATCAAGGATCATATAGATCTTTATAACATCCCACAACAATTATATCACATGAACCTCCCTAACCTGATGAATCGAAAATATCATTTTTTGTTGTTCCAAATTTGGTGACTCAGTCTCAAGCGACTCTTTGCAGAAGTTAGTCCTGTAGCCTCCAGCTCACAGAAGCTGGGTGTCCAAAACAGACACAAACTTCAATGCATGTTTCCTCCGAAAGAGAAGATCCTCAGGAAATCCACACAGTTTACAGAGCTGGAGCAGAAGCCTCCTTCACAAAGCGTTGCATTCAATAAGAAAAGTACGGATGAATGATCACAAAATATAATTTAAGTACCAAAAGTAAAAGTACTCATTATGTATGTTCAGATAATATGTAATAGATTAATGTACATTATTACCTGACAACAATAATTATTGCTGCACTGATTAACGTTTGAATCTGGTATTATTTCATTTGCTTGTAGTAGGTTTAATCTAAAACAATACATTAAAATGTAATTACCTGTATTTAAAAGGAATTATTTGATTGTGTTAAATGACTAAAGGTTTCAAATAAATCTAGTGGGGTAAAAAGATATGTAAAGTAAATTGAATAACTAAAGTAAAATAACTCAATATTGTACATAAATACAGTAGTTGAATAGATGTATGTTATTTCTTTGCACCACTAGTTAACCTGATAAACTGTACCTGCTCAGGCATCAGAATCTTAACACTGTCATGTTGATTTTATCTCAAAGCTGTTTGCACGGCTGCAGACTCTTCTACGATTATTCATCATAATGATAAACAGCCACTTTTAAATTATTTTTCTCAATTTTGTCTTATTCAATTATAGTATTTTAGTTCGAGCAGTTTCAAACACTGTAGATGAGCCTCAGTGGAGTATCGTGTATTCTTATAGAGTCACTGCAGCTCCCACAATAACCTGACAAAAACAAATGGCTAAATATAGATGAGAGGCAACAGAAAGAAGAGAGAGTGGGCATGACAGTGAGTGACTGTGCTGTCAGATCTTTTCATGGAAAAACAGGGTGGACAAACGGACATCCTCAGAGGCTGAGTGTTTGTGAGGGAAGTCCATGGCCTGTCCTAGAGGCCTCACCTTTACTCACTGGGAGGGATTTCTGTTCTGTTCTAACCCCAAACACAAACATGCCCAGAGCAGCTCCAGAGGAGGACGAGGCAGGAGCTGTTGTTTTGATACATACCTGAGTATGGTCATGCTATCAGGTGTCAAACACTAAAACTTTAAATCATCCGTCTTGTGCAGTTTGCACAAATCTATCAGGACGTTTTTAGGAATAAATTCATGAATCAGTCAATCACTACAGCAATCAGCAACTTGTTTTGGGTTGAAATACTACTCTCTGTAGAATGTTAGATTTTTTTAAACCAACGTATATCACAATAAAAATACCTTCAGTTGACATCAAGACACTAATTTTTATACTATTAGATTCAGGATTTTCTTAAATGTGTAAATTAAGCATTATTTGCTATAAATGCATTTATATACATACAGAACAAGCTGGACATTGTATGAAGCTTTTTTTTGGAAGTACTAGAGTCAAATTCTTTTATAGATTTTGGATACTGTCCAAAATACTGTCAACAGCATTAAAGGAAATTATATTTTGCCATGTTTTTAATGACGATATATAAAAAAAACAGTTTAATAGCCTCCAGAATGTTGATTTAAATAAAACTGGTGCATGTGAAAGACACTGAGGTGTAGATTTCTGTCTCGGACTAAGAGAAAATGTCTCTTATGATCGTAGACACAAAAAAAGTGATGTGAAATCAAAGATCTAAATGTGTATTTGGTAAAATCACGTGCCGTGTCTCGTCCTGCACTGGAACATTTTCCTTGGTGTCAACATATTATTCTATGTTGTTGCCACCGAACGAAAGTGATGCACTGTCTGACCAAAAGCATTTCCGGTGTTCATGACCCCTCTTTCATTTAGTCATGAGCTCTCCTACCTGCCAGTAAGCTGTCTGTTCCCTACTGTGAACAACAAATTTACTGGCTCAGGCCATTTGCGAGAGCGGAAACTACTTTGCATGGCAAGGAATAAGTCTGCAGCTGAACAATGGTTCCTCTTGTGAAATATGGCTACAGGGTCTCACCTTTGGCTCCTAGTGCCTTCTCCCCTCGGCTTATTTACGTAAGCAGGTTGTGTTCTGTACCCCATCAGGAAGAGGTGTTGCAGGAAACTCAAAGCTGGTGTAGGATTTAGAGTAAACTCACAACTAGACCCCAAAAGAGCGCTTATCTGATCTCTGAAGGAGGTGAGAGAAAGGTTAAACACATGTGACCCTTGCACCAGAATCCACATGGAGCCAGAGATTCACTTCATTGGATCTGATTGCCGGTCGTGTTGTTTCCACATTGTTTGGAGGTTATGCTGACCTGCAGGACAACCTGTCTATTGTGTTAAAATCCTCAAATATCAATTATCATTATCATCATGAATGGATATTAAACTGCACACAAATACAATCCCCTCCTTGCTTTATGAACTCTATGTTTAAAAGATCAGGACATTT